GTGACCGTCTTTCACTAGAAACGGTTAGACTGCCTTGTAGGGACCCTTAATACTGGTTAAATTTTTCATTAGAATATATGAAGAGCGGAAATTCCAAATGTTTTCAGTGCCTTCTGTTATTTTTTTTCAGGAAAGCAATGAAACTGCGTAAGTTAAATGGTAACTAAAAAGAAAACACATTATTGAAATGTATATTATTGGTAATATAGGAATATATTCTTCCGCAGCTGATGCAATGAAAAATAAAACCAAACTCCTTAATATGCAAAAAAAACCAATAAATTGAAGAAACGTTCTATTTACCCTGGTACATAGAACTCTTTGAATGAAAACTATATTGATACATAGAACATGATAAACCTAAATAATTTAATAGATGAAATTGACATGTAAAAATAAATGGAAGTTTTAATTATTTAGAATGTTTGGATAATAGTTTTTAGCAATTTCTGGCAAAAATTCCAACATGGCAGAGAAATCTTTTTTCTTGCCATTCGACAGGAATGGCTTTTGAATCAATGACATTCAAACTTTTTTAACATCAACAGGTTTAGCCCATTTTTTTATTACATTAACATAATTCTACAAGTCTGTGGCATTGAATGTGGATTTGTACTGGATAAAACCTGGATCATCTTTGGATATTTTTATCACAGTAGCCTTTCTAGTTGGAACATTTACATTTAATGTAGAGAAACAGGCGTGTATTAGGCCTAGAAAGGACGAATGTGCAATGTTAACTACGGAGTTTACCTGTAACTTTACCTGATGCCAGAACATTTTGTAAATCTGTCTGAGTGGAACATTTGGAAACCCTTTTCCTCTTTTCCATTACGGCGAAGTCTCGATCACATGATAAAAAGCTATGACCGCTTATTAGAAATTTCATAACAATCTCTTTAAATTGCCCAAATTGTACCAAGAACGTGGCTTGCACAATTGACTGACCAAATAACAAGTTTCTTTCTGCCGAAAATGTCATATGAATGAAAAATATATAATATTATGAAAACTGTAAATGGGTGAAATTAACCGTTAACATTAACCGACTGCATTATTGTGAAATTGCTGTGGAAGCCTACGGAGCAAACTACTCATAATAGTCTAATCAAAGTCAATCATCTGTTGTTGGACTGGATCCATCGATTTTGTGTATACTGCAATTTCTATGCTATTTGCGCAACTTGGTTTGTAGGTTGGACGACTGGGCTGTCTGTAGTAGTAAAAGTTGATTTTATTGTTTTACTATTGATAATTTTCCAGTTTGCGTCTAGTTCTATACAGACGTTGAAAAAAATACGAGAAACATAGTTAAGTGTCAAGGATTACTTTTCATGACCTCAAATATAAAGCATTTTACCAAACCTTTAAACTTTACCAAATGTTTTTTCATTAGAATTAACAAGTTCACTGTGGATGACACTACCCTACCGTATATATATGAATGGGTGATTTCTCCAGGCTGGCGTACACTTTGGTGAAAAAAGTACATCGGAACAGGTCCTGACAAGAGTTTGTCACTTTTACTTTTCAACAAAAGATTGTTAAACCTTCACTTCTCCACCCTATTTGGGAGTATCGGTCAACTTTCCTACTTTCCTTTAAGTGACGAATGTGCCTTGGGTATATTCGGAAGTCTGTAATTCGAGGTGATCTAAATATACCATATGTGGCCAAAGTGGTGAAAGAAGCTAAGTGAAATTGTATAAACGCATAATTGAGTACTTAATTACATCTTCGGGTTTTGTCCGTGACTGCCGCCGACAGGCGCAGCTGTGTAAATAAATTTAATGAAAAATAAATAAATCCAAGTTTCAGAGTACAACCACTACATTCAAACCTTCTCTTATGTTTCATGTCAATTAGCGTTAATGCTATTACGTATTTTATAATGAAATTAATATATAATTTTTCATTATTTGCCAAACTATGACTTATATTCTATAAAGTTATCTACAATACAAAAATTCAATTAAAAATAAAATAAAAGGTCTCGTAGTGAATTTTTTAAATAAATGACTTGAAACATATTTTAACCTACCTCCAATATTACTTATCGATGTACCGTTCCGATGAACCATAAATCAAGAACTTTGTGAAAAGAAAGAAAAAAACGTTTGAATAGCCATAGGTAAGTTTGCCTCGGCTTTTTCAAAAGGACGGCCTGCAGGTTGCAACGTCCTGCGAAACCAAGATGGAAATCTTTTCAGGATTTAAATTTCTCAGGAAATACGGCTTGTAAAGTTGACTAACTCGGGGAAGATATACGCCCCTGGGGCGATATCACATGCGTGTAATAAGTATTAGGAACACAAATTGTGCGAGTAGTCCCTGGGGGAATATAAAACAATATAATTGTCCCATAAATCGTTTCTGGCTGCTTCCCCGGAGTGATAAAAGACCCACCTATGAAACCACCTTCCGGATATTTTCGGTTCAAACTCTCCGCTGGGTCAAACAGCGAAACAATTTTCGATATGTAAACTTTACAAAATTGGAATTTTATATTGCAACATCACATACAACATAAAAAATATGTACTTTTCATTAAGAAAAAAATCATTATTATATAGTCGGTTTCTAGTTTATGTTTGATTTGAAGAAAGTTAGATCGTAACCATTCATTTATACTGCCTATCAAGCAAGGAATTTCCGATTAATATTACCCTTTTGAAAGATAATTAATTTGTCTTTTAAAGAAATTGCTTAAACAATGAACTTTTCACACAGAAAACGTTGCGTTTTTGTGATTTTTTTAGTACGGGTTTATTCTTCAAGCCATAATGAACCATTATTGAAACGCCGCTACTATTGTCAACAGTTACAAAAAAGCTTTGATAATTTCAACGATGTAGGCGTCGATTCGGTTTAATTGAAATTGTATTACAATTTATAACTTTCCATTGAGTGAACCGGCTTTACAATATTCGCGATATCATCAATCAAACAAATGTTGGGGTGTGCCAATAAAAGGCAATTAAGGCAAAGGCATTGGAAATTCGTCGGCGGGGTTGGATGTAATTAGGACAGGGGATGTAACGCCTAAGGGGGTTCCATTGTCATTTTTTTTAATTGCACACCCAAAAGGGGTTGAGGGAACGATGAGTGGCGCCAAATAGGAGAAATGATCCAACTCTATTATTGTTGTGCTCCCGTGGGACCCTCTTATAATTAGCCATGTGCTCTGCCCAGGATTAGGGCATTAGCCCCTCGTCCGGTGGAAAGGGGACGAAAAACAAATAAGCATGGCAATTGTCTCTCTGGGGGGACGGGGATATACCCTGTATATAATTTGACGTGAGGGATTAACCTACGGTATTAATAAATCCCTGTAGGGGTTGGACAAAAGGAATTACAATCGGTTGACGGCACAAAAGGTGGTTCTATTCGTTTTTTGTCGTTTAAGGTTTTTCTAACAATCGATTCTTCTTTACTCGGCAAAAACGAATGAAAAATTCAATTTTAAACACGCAGATTAATTTTTTTTATATATAAAGCACACTGTTAAATACTATATAAATTTATATAAAACGCCGAAACAGTAGGTTTTTGCTGCCATCAGGAGGGCTTAATGCCCAACTTCTCGTTTAGTCACGAGAGCTCAACCCAATTTGCAATACTTTCTCATATTATGATCTTTAAAAAAATTGGCTAGGAATGGTTAGAGCATCGAGTATGGCACCCGGGCTTGCTGTTCTCGCTCAAGGACATCCTTTCCTCAACCTACTAACTTATCCTTCGAAGCTACCTCACTGACCGGTACTTCCGACATACAATCCAATATCCTATGCACCCAAAGAGCCCAATCCATAATCCTCAGAAAAATCTTTAATGCTCCCTTTTATGTATCCAACGAAACTACCTATATAGACCTAAATATTCCTTTTGTCCAAGATGTAATCCACTCCCGTTATCGAAAATTTTACACAAACCTCCCAACCACTACAAATCTTCAAATTCAAATCCTCTCATCCCGACGAATTCCTTCCAACCCTCCTCGCCGACCAAAACGACGATCTTCTATCCAGTGAAAAAAATTGAATAAAGAATACTTAAGATACTACCAGTGGGTAGTTTCTCCACTCTGGTTTACTTATTTACTTATTCATACACTGTTACTAGATACCAAAATGAAGGTAGTTTAATAAACAATAAAAAATATTTAAAAAATCGTATTTTATGTTTAAATAATCAGAAAAAAGGCAAGAACAAAAACAAGAACTGCTAGTATACCTACAATAAACTGTACTATGAAAATAATTTAAAGTAAAACAACTTCTTAAAGAAAACATTGCACGTATGAGGCTGAGGGCTTGTTTTGTGTAACATCATACTATAATGTAAAACGAAACTGTTATTGTTTTGATTTCTTTTCTTTTCGCTACCATTGTTATGCGAAACGTAAAATATTCATGAACCAAGTTCTGCATGGTTGATATTCCCAGGATGAATAAATATTTCTAGAGGTTCAGCTTTTCAGTTTATTTTTGTTAGATAGATAATTTCGTAAAATTTTACACTAGCATGACGAAATCGACCGACCGACCAATCTGCAAAATTGGTTCTCTTGAAAGAAGGCTGAAAGCGTTAAGGAAAAGCCCTTTTTTCCTGAATAGAGGGAGAAATCGACTCAGTCGGCAAAATACAGAAAAGGAAAGGAAGTGAAGAGATGTGAAAAAAGAAAAGAAAAACAAGAAGAACGAACACAATTTATTTCATTTGAAATGGTTTGTGCTTGTAAAACCGCTTCTAAAGTCGTTTACAAAACCATTTGCCTCTTGTCGTCCTGAACGAACAAATAAGTATTCTTAAAAATTAATATATCTTTCATCATAAACATTGTTCAATGTTTATTCCAAAATAATTATCAAACAATCTTTCTGGAGGTATAACAAATTTAATAATTTATTATGTTTAATTTGGAAAGTTCCTTATGCTAGAATAAGTCTTTAATCCTCAAGATTCTGTATTTATATTAATTTTGTTCTTTTTATTTCCAGAGGGATTCTTCTACACGGTCGAGAACAATACGACGAAGCAATAAAAAGTTATCAACTTGCCGTACATTTCAGGCCTTCGTTAGCACGTGAGTCTTTATTAGAATGTTTTTATAGTTTAAGCAATTGTTGAGTGTTGAAACTTATTTTCGGTCTCATAATTCGCACCGTATTAAAGGGCGTGATAAATTCTCGTTTTCGTTTTTTTTTTTTTCATTCTAAAAGGGCTCATAAAGAGATTAATTTGATTCGAACTTCGTTGGATCTCGCCCAAGTTCCCTCTGTCCTCTGCCATGGCCGAGACAGAATGACGTTTGATCAATTTAACTTCTAAATTCGATTTATCTCAAATTGTCGCTTATTTCACAACTGAAAAAATTTGAGTGTTCAATATTAAAAAAACGTCCATGATCCAATTCTTATTAAGATTTCAATAATAATAATAATAGTTAGGGGCGTTGGTGGCCGCAAAGATTTAAGCGTTGACACGGCGCTCATCACTGTAAGGTAAAGGACCCCGGTTCGAATCCAGCGGGCCCGCATTCGAACCCGACATACTTACAAATGGCCTTTTTTTTTCAAAAACACCGGCATTCCGACACCTCTGTTGTTGCGAACCCTCTTAAACAAATATAATAATAGGTCTGAAAATATAAACTAATTGACATTACACGTATAAAAATTATTTGTAAACTATAAGCTTGATTTAAAAAATTCATTATAGTTTTTGTTTATTAGAGTATTACCAATTATTTGATTTTTTCAAAAATTCTTTTATACAGTTAAATATTCGTCAATTTTTGATTCTTTCTTTTGACCTGACAAGAAAAGATTACTTTTGTTTGTAAAGAATTATCTTTTCGCACATTTTTTCTTTCTCGCTCTGATATTATCTACGTCACTTTATTTCATCATCATCTGACTTATATCTACATCCATAGGGATAGGGATAAGAGAGGTGGCCACAAGGGCTACTGCACCTCGACCTAAATAGATCTATTGTTCTCCTTTGTTTATTATAGCCCACTGGCCAGCTTCAGGCTTTTAACCAGCCTCCACAGCTTTGCCATCGGTTCCTTAGCGTAGGATTTTGCTTGTGGTTTTTCTTGTCCCAGTTGCAAGAACCTGCCCCTACCTTCACAGAAACATAAAATGTGTTCTGCGGTCTCCTAGCTTTTTAGTTCTCTGGCACATTGTTCAATCGCTATAATTTCTGACTGGGAAACTGTAGAATACTTGGCTAGGTTTACCGTCTTTCGGTCTTGGGGTTCTCTTCATCCATGCATTACAAAATCTCTAGATGCGTATATATTATTTGCTGAGAGGCAAAAAGTGGACTTTTTTGTAAATATTTACGATAGTGATTTATTTTTATTTTTTGTTTGTTATTGGAAAGTTTTGACGGAAAATATAAGTTATAAGGAAATGAAAGCTTTAGAGATGAAGTTTTTATTTTTGGCTAACTGAATACCAAACTATTGATAACCAAAAATTAACTATTTATTTTTGTTTTCAAGTGTAAAAAATGTCGTATAAACAATAATTTATCTTTTTTTTTTTTTTTTTCACTTTTCACATCATCAGAATTGTCATTGATACCAGGTAACATACTTTGCTTCTTGTAATCATATCTTTTTAATGCTATTCACTTGGTGCAATACTTACGAAGCGAGCATCTGCTTTTTGTAATTCACAAAGGGAATAAAATAGAAGGAGGACGATATTGATTTTTGAATTGAAAGCAGGAAGCTCCGCGAACGTTCGTGATATAAACTCACTCGTGCAGGCACAACGACAATAACCACCACACGTAATGCTTAGAGTAGATGGAGAAGAAAAAAGAACTACGATAATGATTGTATTTTCTCGCCTGATTCATTATAAACGAATAAAGCACTTTCTTGGAACGAGAACTCCCAACAAACTCACCAGCATTGCAATCCTTCTCGCTTTATGTACAAAAACAAACTTCTATCATTACGACAGAAATAAGAGAAATATATTTTATTCTAATAAATTTATTGTTACGCATAGAAACTAACTAACATACTTGTCAGCAACAAGCTCTCTTTGATTCAACGCAGAATAAAAAATATATAAAAAATTAGTCTAATGTTTCTTGGACAACGATCAATTTTATTTACATAGGCTCCATTTTGTCCATATGTGCACTTGTTTAAGTACATATATATGCAGAACCGAGCCTAAGAGTTCGCGTGGCAAGCCGCAAGAATCACCCATTTCGGTATTTTGTTGGACCGGGTTCAGCCCTTGGTCTTATCTGTATTAATGTTGAAGTTAGCCTCAAGAAGTTATCGACAAGGACATTTATGCCCCAACACATGCAGTTATAACCTAAACATACTCATTCTTAAATATGTCTCCACTTATTGGCATGCCTTTCACTCAAGTCGAGTGATGTCGTACTGGATATTTCTCCATCACTTTTTATCGCGCATATAGACGACTGTACTTACAATGTCTAGTCTGATTGAGAGTCGATGAGGTATTTGATATCCAGCCATCTGCAAACAAGCACTATTCACATATTCAGCCATAAAAATACATTCTCCATAAAGATTTAAACAATCTATTATCCACTAACGACCTGCAATAACCAAGGTTTTTTAAAATAAGCCGTGGAACAAATATTCTGAGGTAGTGTGAATACTAATCATCATGTTTTATCTTATGTCTGTTTTTGTTATTTGTTTTATTTTATACGCATGTTCTGTAGTATAGAGGACTTATCAATAGGTTAAATATTGAGCCAGTCACCGCCCTAACTGATCTGATCATAACTTAGACGAACAAACGAGAAAATAAATTAGTAGGATTAATATAAAAGAAAGACAGATAAACAAAATAAAAAAAAGTGAATCAAACAATTCAGACCAAAATTTGGTACCAGCACTTCTTTAGGTAAAATAAACCAACGGATGTATTTCAGTGTCGTTCGACATTAACTTAACAATGTTCCTGCCAAATAATGGGCTATATTATTTGAACAAAGATGTATCAAGAAGTATATAATTAAATTTCTGAAAAACGATTCTGTACACTTTTCAAAAATTACTGTCAATATAACAACTATTTTTTTTAAATAAAGGGACTATCAAAGAACTTATTTCCAGCTCGAACGAAAAAACAAAGTATGTAAACAAAAAACTTTTATTAGAATCAAACGCTAAATTAACAAAATCTGTTATTTTTTTCGGAATAATATGATATTTTATGTATATGTGGGAAAACCAAGATGACTTAGGAAAATTTCCCTTTACTTGATTAATTCTGTACACTCTGACATAAATTTTACATTTCAAAAAAGGTAAAAGTAAACTTGAAAATATATATTATGAATAATTTACTGGAAACATATATATAAACATATACAGAATACTCAAAACAACGGGCACAATCATTCGAGTTTACTTTTCAATCCATTGATGTATAAGTCAGCCTACTGTATATTTTGCTAATAGACCTTACGTTTAAACTCTCCTCCAAAACTTTTAATTTTTATTACTTACTTTAAAAAAAAGTGCAAAAACATTACCTTTAAAAGAATCAACAATTCGACTATACCACCTCTCCACTTTATAAAACATTGGGAATTCATTGTTTTTCAAAGTTCAAGCTGTCAAAAAAAGTATAAAAATATTAAAACGAAAATTAAATTACAATTCCATGAGTATATAAGGGTTCCAAATTTATTTGGCCGATAGAGCGTATGTTTAGGTTCCACCTAAAATCCTTTAATTATAATAAACAACCTATCATAATGAAACCATTAGCTACAAACAATGGGTATTAATTAAATGCTTGTCAATATGCTGGTAGTAAAAAGTGCAAAAGATTATCTTAATAAGAAACAATTTAACTTGAACACCTCTCCACAAATGAAACGTTGGGGATTCTTTGTTTACGAAGTGCGAATTTTCAGAAATATATTAAAGCGAGAAGAATATAAAGCTTGCTCACATAGTAACATACTTTCGAAATATAATGAAACGTTAACAATTTGTCATAAAGCAGCAGGTCTCACGTCCCCTAGCAATAAAGTGTCACCTGAGAACACATGTCAAAATCAATCAAATACTGGAATTTTAAGCATAAAAAACTTCTTCAATGTTAAAACAAAGCTAATGAACGCGTTCGGTATGAGAAATATGAATTCGAAACATGTGTAATTGAACAAAAAGTAACTGCCAAAGCGATAAAGATTGATATGCCAGAAATCAGAAGACTTTCCATAAATAAATTACATAGAAAGCTATTTTTCTTTCAGTATGAAGGTAGTATTAATAATAAATGGCATAACCAATAATTATAATATAATAATATATAATAACCATATACTACCATATAATAATTATATGGTATAACTAAAATACAGAAAGGTTAGTAGGAAGATTAATATGCAAGTTAGCCAATTCTCTAATGAATCTGTTCTGTTTCTATTCTCCTGTTTTATTTTTTATGCTGTAATCAAACAGACAGATCAATATGTTTAAATAATACCAAATGGACAAGTGGAGGTAGAAAAAGGTCACTGATTGCACAAAATAAATATTTCCATATTCATATTTTATTTATTAACTCGTGCAATTTAATCAAATAAGTTATGTCTGTTTTTGCTGTTTATTGTTTATGTCGTGGTAAATATGTGCAAAATAAACAAAATGTGTTTGATGTAGTGTTTTAACATTGTTAAATGGGTAGGATTAAAAGGTATATCAGTTTATTTTATCATACCTGTTTTTAAAAAACGGAAAACCGCTGATTGAAACCGTCAGTTTAAAAGTTGTAAATTGAATTTATATAGGGCCTATTGAACCGGGTGAACTATTAGGGTAGTGCCTCCATCTAGAAAAAGCAATTTGGCCCGGAGGACCCGGGTCGCACAACGGACGGCAGGGGAAAGAGCCACCCTCCTCGGACCTTTGACAGGGGTGTAACAATTTTTATAAATTACTTCCATTAGTGTTTGAGCCACGTTATTGGTTCCTGGAAGTTTATTGAAACCGTAATAAGGTCGGAGGTGTTTACGGCAAGGCCACCCTGGCCCAGACATTTAGATTTGTACTCT